AAAGCCCAAATTTTTAAACTAATATTTCAATAATACTAATACATTCATTTAATTCATTCACATGCATCTTTATGTGGCCTCACTTTTTTTTTTAATGTTAAACATTACACCATTTCTATATCAACATCCAATAGATTACATTATCAAATTAATGATATTGCAAATGTTTTACATATTGAGCCCCTTTTTTTACTACAAATTTTGTTTGTAACTCTAATGTTTGACTCTAAACATAATTTAATTTACTTACCAGCTTCCTCTAGACTTCATAAAAATGTTGTTTTGAATTTGTTGCTAATTCCATTTTCTGTATGGCTATTACATCTCAGTTAAATGTTTTAAACAACTTCAACAATTTCCTTTAGTCAATACAGAAAAAGGTACTTTCAAAACATTTTATATGTTTGAGTGAAAGTGAATACATATCATGATGAAGACAACAGAACTTTGTATCCAAAGACGTTTTTTAGAACATTGTTTGATTATCATAAAAAACAACAGTTCAACTAGTAAAAATATATTTGTAAAAGCTAGAATAAATGTTTTTAGTGTTTCTTATAATCTAACTATTTAATTCCTTAAAAAAAGAGTACAATTACATTTACTTATGCAAATTTTAAAACTAAATACCTCATGTTAATAAAATCCCATAAAATATAGAGAAAACAAACACAAGGATTTTTTTGGTGTTTATTTTGATAAAAAATTGAAAAACATTTTAACATTATTCTGTTAGTTACTGTTCTCTCTCTCTCTCTCATCTATTCATTTGTGTGATAATAATCTTTATAATAATACTTCAAACTAGCCTGTGACTGTATCATTCCACTGATCTTACAATCTGCTGATAAAAGGAAACCTCAGATGTTACACAACCAATTTGCAATTTCTGGAATCATTTTTGTCATAATGAATATAAAAAATCCAGGACCTCACATTCAAATTGTAAAACATATCATGAATAGAATCAATATGAGCCTAAATTCAGCTGTTTCTGCCCATTACATACTGGAAATTAAAACTTGCATATAGTAGTCTATTTCAATATGCATTTCTTTCTGCCAGTTTTCTTCCTTAAATATCAACGCTCAATTTAATTTATTAATGTAAGCACACACGGTCAGTTATAGTTTGTCATTCACAATTATTCCTGCATTATTATTCCTTCAATATTTCATAGTCATGCTTGTTAACATGGTACTCTGGATGTCCTTCCTGGTTTTGAATTTTAGTAACCTTAAAATATCCCAGCTAATCTCAGTCATTTACTCTCCTTCACTGTCTTCGGTTTCTGTTTCACCCTTGTCACTCTCTTCCAGGTCAAATATGTGAACTAAATCCCAGAACCTTTCCTTCACCTATAAAAAGTAGATGTAACTCATCAACATGGCTACTGCTGCATCAATTGTTTTTTCTTTGTGGATATACATTTGATGTTCAGTCAAACAGCTGTTCAAAAATAGTTTGTAATTAAGTTTTTATCTTAATTGTGTTTTCTTACAATACAGATGTTTGAAGGTATGTGAAAGTAAATGCTATTAAACAGGGGCGGATTGGGTTGGCTAAGCGGCCCGGGACTGGGATCACAGAGTGGCCCTGGACAGGTTTTCTGTTAAACTTTTTATT